GCATTAGAGAAAACACTGGAATGTGAATGCTGGCTGGGTTGGAGGGTTTTTCATGAGCACAATTAACAGGACTGAAATGAATTGCAGGTACAGGAGTGAAGGTGAACTAGATCAGGGAGGCAAGAATGATAGAGTTCTTATTTGAAAAACTAGGTGAATGAGATCACCCAGAGAGAACATGTTGGAAAAACAAACAAACTAACAAAAAATGGAACAGGGTTAAAAATGTAATCCTGGATCCTCTGCCACTTGAGGGGAGAAAAGACAATGAAAGAGGAGGACCAGCCAATGAAAGAGTGTAGGGATGGACGGAGAAGGAAGAGGAGAAAAAGCAGAGTCTGGAAATCAAGAGTTTCAGATGATGGTGGTTAATAGCGATAATAATACAGAAATATTTGACTGAGTGAAGGTGGATCATAACCTTCATAACATCAAGAAGTAGCTGGTGATTCCGGTGAAAACAACTTCAATGGCACATGCAGAATGGAAATTAGAATGGAAGGAGTTGAGTTGTTCCTGGGAGTTGACGAAAGAGATACCTGGGTCAAGGTTATGTTTTTCAATAAATTTTGGTGTAGATATGAAGGAAGAAGATATAATGGTAGCTTGACAGAGGGGTAAAGTAAGGAGAAGAAAAGTTTAGTGCAGGAAAGAAGAAAATGGAACATTTTCTGAGTACTTAACTGTATGTTGAATTTTTGCTAGGCACTTTCATATAGGAGAACCTTGAGCATATGCATGGGCCAAAAGGAATGAAGGAGCAAGAGAGTGAAATTATAGAAGTTATTTAAAAAAGAAAAAGGAAAATTGGAGGTGATAATGGGGAAAGGAAACACCATGAGGGAATTCACCTTTGCTAGATCAGACATCATTGGAGTGGGTTTAGCATATAGTAGGCTGCAAAGTTTTTGGTATTTTCATAATTCGGGTTTCTGTCTGGCCTGAGTAGATGGCTTTCCTAAAATGGAAATAGATTTGTTAAAGTGACAGCTTGAGTTTAATACTAACTAACATTTATAGAATGCTTACTCTGTGCCAGATAGTCTATGAAGCCCTTTAAATGCCCTACTCCCTTTACCCAACAACCTGTGGTGGAGATACCATCTTTGTCCCTACTTTATACAGGAATAAACTCATACACAGAAAGATGAACAGAGCTGGTACACGGTGGAGCTTAGATTTGAACCCATGTAGCCTGCATCCAGAGCTTGTGTTTTTAATCCCTCTGTTAAACTATCAAAAGGCATTTTTGCATGAATTATACAATTACCCTTAGTCCACTCTTACTCCAGACTAAGAGACAGGTTCTGGCTCTTTGGTTTTCTGCTGTGCTCAAGGAAAGGGACACTCCACTTGAAGAAGCTCATGAATATCAAAACCTTAATCACAGCTCTTTGGATGACACGAGTTCACGCTTTACAAACCAACCATGGCCCTAGTCATATTAAAATCAAAGTTGCAAAATAAAGAAACGTTCTGAAAAACCTTGTCTGCTTCATTTAGATAACGGTGTGCAGAATGAATTGAAAGATAAAAATGCTCAGCATTTACCATTTCCTTTTCTTCCCTTTTTTAAGCCCCATGGTGATACGGATGATATCATCAGGCAATTTGGTTTGAATATGTTCCTTGCTGGACCGTGTAGATTACCCAACTAATGACATGCCTACTCCTTGCCATTGTGACACCTCTCTTCTCACAAGTGGGAATTTCAAGTGACAGACTAAAGCTGTTTGCTATCAATTTTGCAAAAAAAACACATCTGCCAGATAGCCGAGATTTAGTTCAGAGACTGAAATCAATTAATATTCTAATTTGTTACCTGTCATTAGCGTCACACTGTATTATGCCAAGTCAAAAGTGATAACCTTTATATAACATAGGCTCCTAAAGGAATTTGATTTGTGGGATGTGTTTTATTTGTGCTTAGTGTTGCTCCTGGTGCATAAATCCCATTAGAAATTTCAATTACACAGACAGTAAAAATTGTGGTGGATTAAAACAAAAGGGTAAAATATGCCATTACACATTTTTAATGAAACTATACAGCTGTGTTTATGGTAAGTTTTTCTAACTCTAATTTAGTGTACTGTTTTAAGATTTGGTTAGTGGGCTTGTTTCTTTCTATTAAGTCAAGGAGAGATCAAGAAATATGGTATTTTTATAGGTGTTGCCCAGATCCTCTGACATTCTATTACTTTAGGTTGCTGATCAAAAGCAAACCTCCATGGAGGAACAGACGAGACACCTGGTCTCAGGGCCACTGAGGAAGAATGGGGCCAAAGAGTGGAACAGGGGCTTGGGAGGAAATGAAATTAGCCAAGGAAAGAAAGGAACTAAGGGAGCATTTCCTAGTTTTTATTTTCCAGCTGACTGTTTTCTTGCTGCTAAACTGGAGGGAAATATAATGCACATGATGGCTGTCTCTAAGTGGGAAAGGATAAAACATGGAGGTATCATTGCAAGGATGGAAACAATTTGCTTTTTTCAGTGTGAATGACACAGTCAAGCTCTGAAATGATTCTTAATGTTAAAAATTAAAGATTCTTAATATGCTTTAATTTTTCAGCATCTTCAGGCCTCAAAGTTGAAGAGGGTGGTTCAGGATGTAAGTTAAAAAGACATTCAGTCATGCATTCATTCAGGAAGTAGACATGGAGGCCTCCTATGTACCAGGCACTGCCTGGGATATAACTGTGCAAAGAACAGACCCAACTCCTTGCTCTCAGAGAGCTTACATTATTTCGGAGGGATCCAGAGCAATTTAAAAACAAATAATAAGGAGCACCATCTGCAGTGCAATGCAAAATAATACGGTGAGAAATAGAGCAAGGGTGAGGACAGGAACTTCCGGCAAAGATGGGGTGGGGTGAATGAGTTATCATTTTAAGCAGCACGGTTGGGGAAGTCCTTAACTAAGAGGATGACATTTGCACAAAGCCTAAAGGAGAAGAGAGATTGAGTTATGTGGATGCATGCAGAACATTCAGTCCCATAGTTAGTACCAGCGCCATGCCTCTCCTGGGGTTTATTCTTCTAGAGGAGGTGGTGTTGCAGATCAAGCAGAATATGCATTTTATTTGATGTTCTTCATTTCTTTCTCTGCTAGCTCATTTCTCATAAAGCAATCATGCTGATAAAATATTCAAGTGAGAGTTCACCCCCATGGCGTATGATTTTGGTTTGTGCCTTGTCATTACAACCTCGAAGTTTTGTCAGTAGTACCGGAATCCTCCATCAACCTTGTAGCAGAGCAGGAAAGAGAATTTGGATTTCCCATCCTAGGGCTCCATCTATTGGTCCATCTCTACCTCCTCTAGATTATAGATCTTCCTGCTGAGAAGGATAATTACTGGCCACTATACTGAGAGTGTCTCTCAGATGAACTTGAATTTGTTAAAAGTAGACCGATCAACAAATCGTTAGTCACTAACAGACAAGAAATTGATTCTGTGTTTTTTTTTTTCTCTTGCTTTCTCAGTGTCCTTACAGAATAATTTTTTTATAAATTGATAAATCTCTCATCTGGATTACTGCAACATTCTGCTTTATCTTCTGCCCTTGACTTTCTGGAGCCCATTTTCAACACAGTTGCTAGAGTGATCTTAAAAAAAACCTGAGTCAGATCATGGGACACCCCTGCTCAAAACTCTACAAAGCCATTTTATTTCAGTCATAGTAAAATCCAAGTTCTTAGACTAATGCCCACAGCCTCACATGATGGGGCCTATGTTACAAGTCCGAATTCACCTTCTACCACCCTTTACCTCATTCATTCTACTAAAGCTCCCTGGGCTCCTTGCTGTTCCAAGCAGATTTTTGCCTAAGGGGCTTTGTCTGGAATTCCCAGAATTAAAATGAAAATGAAAATGAAAATTTTGGAATTTAAAACTTCCTCCTCCATTCCCTTCAGGGTTCCTTACAAAAGAAACCAGCCCTGATCATCCTAAAAAATAATGTTTTTCCCTCTATGCCCTTCTATATTCCACTTACTCCTCTTTAGTTTCTTTCTTTAAAAATTATTTTTATTTAACTTCAATTAATTAACATAGAGTAGATTATTAGTTTCAGAGGTAGAGGTCTGTGATTCATCAGATTTCTATAAGACCTGATGCTCATTACATCATGTGCCCTCCTTAATGTCCATCACGCATTGACCCCACCCACCTCTTACCCTCCCTACCCTCCCCCCGCTGCCCCCCCCACCCCGCTCCTCCAGCAACCCTCAGTTTGTTTGCTATGATTCGGAGTCTCTTACGGTTTGTCTCCCTCTCTGATTTCATTGTCTTTAGTTTCTCTTATATCATTTCTTACTGCACGACTTACTGTATATATTTGCATCTTTATTTGCATCTTTTTTCACTAGAATATAAGCCTTGTGAGGCCCAAAACGTATTTTTCCTGCATCTGAAAAACTCTCTAGTTCATCAGAAGCATCCAAATCTGAATAAACAGACCAACCTATGGTTTCAGATTTAAACGCCGCTGGTAGAACTAGAGCTGCCCTCATACACATGTACTTAGGTACAGGTGTTTGTTTTCCTGAGGAGGACAAAGAAAAACTGTGCAGAAACTTTGAAATATTAATAAATGAAAGGAAACCAAGCTTGCCATATCAGGAAAGTACATTTTAGCTACTGCTTAGGAATAATCTTTACAATGGAATAATTTCATAAATTTAAAACATATATGGCACAATGCATTAACATGAATATTCTAGAGAAAAACAGACATTGAAAAAAAAATACCTACCTGCATTAAACACAAGATACATTTTTTTTAAATAAACAGGGCTTTGAGATATAAAGTATACTTAAAGATTTTAAAAATTCCATTTCTAATATTCCATCTTCTTACTGGAATGCTACCATGCCAAGAATAAAAAAAATCAAATGTATGTATATAGTATATCAAGAGAAATTCTGCCTTTTCCCCCCGGTAAGTTCATTTTCAAGCATTTCTTTTGACCCTACCAACCGGCCATATGTAGTAGTACTCACATGGAATTTTATGCAGCTCATTCATGAACTTCTCCTTCAGCTTGGAAAAGGCATCTTCCTTTCCTTCCCCAGGACTGGCTGGCTCTGTGGCATTATGGGGGAGAACGGTTGCAACAGTAGTGACTGGCGGGGCGGCCAGCGCCTCATGATGACTCTCGCTCACCATTTTAGGTGCAGGTGAATCTAAGAGGGGAGGGAAGCAAAATAAATAAATAAATAAAAGAACAATTCAGAATGGCTTAACTGATCTCACATCAAAGGTACACCAGAGATGAGACACATCAGGGGGTGCACCTGTTCCCTGGGTAACTAGTCCAGCATTAGCATATTACTTTATGTTGGTTCATAAAGTATTTATGGAACCACCATGGAGAGTCTTTTCCAGAAGGTAAGACCAGACGTACGTCCTGAAAACCCTCTCCTAACAATAACGTGGGAGCTCTCAAATCTATTAGCTGTTTATACCGCCGAGTATTTACTGTGCAGATGTGACTTCTAATCCGTATGTTATAGGACTGTGGATGATGAAGCAGTTGCTGAGAACATACATGCTCTGTGCTCTCAACGTTTGTATCTTATCAGAGGAAAGGAAGATAAAATATTTATATTGAAAATGTTGATGAATGATAGCATGCATCAAAATATTAGTGACTTTTAAGATGGTTGTAAGCCACGCTGTTATGACATTGATACTATAAGATGTCATGAGTGTCAAAGAGGAGTTAGTTCTTGAATCTCATTTATTGATGGTACATTTCCCTCGCAGTCTTTTTTTTTTTTTTTTTTTTGACATTTACTGTGGACAATACTGTGACCAGTAGTTCACTTGTCTTGCTGGGAAAATGTTGGGAGCCACCGTAAATGTGGCAAGATTGACTGTATACATCAAGCAACTGATGATGAAACCTGCCTTGTCTGTCAAATCATTTCAGTTTATTCTATTTGATTATATTATTGAATTATTCTGATTTTAAGTGTTTACCTCCAAAGTGTTTAAAAACAAAAACCCAATTAATCCTTCAGGTAACCAATGAAAAAAATCTAAGCCCTTGAATGCAGAAGACCTCAGTTCTAGTCCTCTTCATAGCTAAATGGATTCTGACAAGGCATCTGACCTCTTCATTTATCTGCCTTCCGAAATATGTAGAAGCGACCTGCCCTGCCTAGATTTTTCTCAGTACATGTGAAGTGTTCTATAAATGTAAAGAAGGTAATCTGAAGAGGGAAGCTTGAAGTCCTATTCTCCAACCTAAACATACTCTGGACTTTCCTAATTAATTTTATTGTATGACTTAAAATTTCAGGCAGTGCTCGTAAGAAAGGGAACAGGATTTGGGGCAGAAATAGATAAATACAAACATAAATACAAACATGTCTGGGCAAAAGAAACTTCACAGTCTCAGCAGGAAAGTTGATGGACCTACGAAGCTCTTTTGATTTGCAAAGAAATGGAGATAACCAGCAAACAGACAAAGGATTTTTATAGAATTAAATTTTTTTGTGAGTTAATTATGCATACTTAAAATATTTAGTGGAAGTACACTTGAAAGCAGAATAATCTCAGATGTGTGGAATTATTATTAGAATCTGAATCAAAATCCAGAGATTTCTGGATCTCTTGAAAGGAGATGAGGGCTGAAGCTAATATTACACGCATATAATCAATTTTCATTTTATAATATAGTCTCTTTTTAAAGCTTTTAATTTTCTGCTAGTAGCTACTAATAGAACCTGAAAGGGGAAAATCAGACAGGATGTGGGCTTAAATCTTCTTTGTTCTTTAGTTTCTTCATTTGTAAAGTGAGAGTGGTCATACCAAAGACATGAAGTTTTTGAGTATGCAATGAGATAATCTATGCAATGAATTTAGCATTCTATGTGTCGATCAATTGACTCGGTCCTCCCGCCTCTCCTCCTTAGGAATACTTGGCAACCCAGAATTTTCCAGGTTGTGGAAAATTGTATTTCTCCAACTCAAGGTCACTTTCTAAAAGGTTTTCATGATTTTTGGGATTCTGTTTAGCTTAGGATCTGTCTGCCTAAAAAAAACTGGAGTTCTGTTTGCATAACTTAGGAGAAGCTTCGATACTGATCATACCGTAACTTCTATATTTCATGCGCGTCAACAGGACTAAAATTATATACACATACATACACAAACACATCCATATGTATGAAGTATTAGTATGTATGTATTCAAAAACTGAATTTGGTCTTCTGCTGTGAAAATCACTAGATACGATATGCCTTATTACTTATCTCCACAGGTTGGTTGAGGATATTTGAGGGATCATGGTTTACTATAGGATTTAAAAGAAAGTATTGCATTAAATACAAATACCTATATACAACAGTGCCATCATTAAATTAAAAATATGCTGTCTAATTATGTTTCCACTCAATTTTGGTCCTGTTCTGGAAGTGGGACCCTGTTGCTGGTTATCTGGACCTATCAACTGCTACCTCAAAATGGCTACACAATTGTTTCTAGCCTTTGTGCCCTGGGATGGTTGGGTGCTTTGCCACTCAGGTTGTTAAATATTTTCATGTTCCCTCAGCTTATAATGGAATAGAAAAAATTTCAATATACAAGTTGAATGATCTGAAAGGCTATTTAGAAGCCTCAACGTCTAGAAGATGGATTTGAAGTTTACTCAGTACATTTTTTAAAAGAGGCAACAAATGTTTCTGTAATTTCCAAAAACAATCCTCTGTAGTAGAAGGTATACTTTACAAGTGTTTTATCAAAACAGATAAAAGCTATAAACTTTTAGCTCTTACTGGTCCATGATAGTATTATCTGTATCATTTCTGATATTTTTAAATCAAGGAAAGATTCTAGAGACAGTGCTCCTTTTACTTAATGTATACCACGTGAAATTAAAGTCTTTCATAAAAGACAAAAATATAATGGGCAATTAAGGATCTAATATACTGACAAAGAAAGACTAATAGTTTACTTAATATTATCTTCTTTGTCCTTCATATTTTGAGAGATGATGCTGTTTGTAAATAGCAAAACTAAGAACAGTGACATGGCCCTTGAATTTATATTTGTGGAAATAAGATGCTGATTTCTTATTTTCCATCATTTTGTAGATGGAAAAGCTATCTAATTATTTGGTTCTGCCTAATGCGATAACCTTATATTCTTTTATATAACATTGATTGCTTATTCAGAAAAAATTTATGGTCTACCCAAGTCTTGATAAAATAACAGCCAAAAGTTATTGATACCCACTAAGTGGTTTAGATATATGAAAACATAGAGTTCCCATGACACTCCCATGAGAGTTATAATTATCACCCATTTAACGGTGAGGAGACTAAAACATAACAGAGGTTATGATTTGGTTCAAAGTCAGACAGTAGTAATTAGTAGAGTTGGGATTTGAACATGGATGTCTTAGCTGCTATAGTGTTAGGGACTCACACACTGCGAGACAAGTATCCAATAAAATTGTGGTTTTCAAAGGAGTTTTTGACTATAACCCATAATAAGAACTACATTTTACATGGTGCACCAGCATACAGACTCTCACCACCTAGATGTTCTAAATGGAACAAAAACTTGATAGAAAAAAATGCTTGTCTTCATTATGTATGAAATATTCTGATATACTTAACTTTTTTCACTAAAAATTCTAGTTTTACCCCCAAATTGTATACGCTGGTTTCACCATCCTCTAATGGTTGAGATCCGCAGTTTGGAAAACCACTATAGAAAGGACTTGGGAAGATCCAATAAAAATTAATGGGGCTAATGAAAACTGAAGATGCCACTAGTTTACTAACCCACTGTGTGCCAAAATACTGTCCTTGGCATAATACTCTCAGTTCTCATCACAACCTTGAAAGGCAACTTGGTCTTATTTTACAGGATAAACTGGGTTGCGGAGAGGTTAAGTGATTTGTCCAACAAAGATTTAGCCTAATGCAAGGTTCTTTCCACCAGTCTTCTCTCATAATAATACTGGTGTATTATTAAACAATTAAATCAGTATTGGAAAGATACGATTTTCTTTTGAATTGATTTACCAGTAAATGGAAAACACAAGTCTTCTTGCCAATGGGAAACAGATTGCTTAATTTTAGAGGTGTAGTCATTGAATTGTTTAAAGTGGAATTTGACCTCTTGAGGTATGTCAAAAGAAATGATATTGAATAGAAAAATTCCCCTGTAGGAGAAAGTTCAGTACGAATGAAATGAGCAAGCAATTCTCAAAGAAATATACATCCTCCTGACAGATAAAATGTGTTTAATTTTACAATTTTACAAATAGCCAAAGCCTGAAAGTTAAAATAACAATGAACTAATATATATTCATTTGTAAATGCGAAGGGAAGGGTTCAGAAAAGTGAGCAGTTGGGAAAGACCATAGAGTAGAAAATACTTTATGGTGGCCAAAGTAATAGAACATACAAGAAGCTATAGAAAAGCTCATTCTTTTTTCTAGGAATTCACAAGAAAGAATTAATCTGAAGTGATTAAACAGTTTACAGATGTTTATTATAATTTATTTGTCAGAAGAGCAGAAACTAACAGACATTTTAAATAATGGTAATCCATTAAATGAAGTTATTAAAATTATCTTAACAGTAAATATTTGCAAACCTAGAAATACATTAGAGTGTTAGATGAAAAAAACAAAGTATGAAACATTAAATAAAGTATGTCCAATTTTTCTAAATAAAAACTCCTGTATAAAAGAGGTTGGAAAGAAACATTTAAAATGTTAAACTTGTGGTAGAATATTCACTTTTTTTCCTGTATGTTTAGATATTTTAAATTATACAAAGAAAAAACCTTTAGCACTGTTTGCTCTTAAGAAAAATGATCTTGCAGAAAGAGTTTAATTTCCTAGTGTCAGATTTTCAAAAACATACTTTAAAATATAGTGTAAAAAGCTAAATTGTAGGAAGTAATGATTTAGTTACACATTTAGCAAATACAGTGTACAAAATGGCCACCGGTTAAAATACAGTGTAGAAAAAATATTAAGGTATCATAGAGGTTAATAGTTTTGTGGTATAAAATGAGGAAAATCAGGATTTTGGTTGCCATGACAACTTCCCTTTGTCCCTTATATTCTTCTAGTAGGACTTTAATTATGTCTGTCTCTAAGTCCATAAATTGATATAGATTTCTCAGATTATATAGTGAGCTAGTCTGTCATTCTGCA